GAGGAAACTGCTAAGCGCCGTTGAGGAAACCAAACGCATATCTACCCGCACTTCTTTTCGAAGGCGTATAATAGGAAATTGAGGAGAGTCTCTTCCATTCGTAATAGAAATCCAATCGCGTGTGGAGAAGGAAAGTTCACCTCTCCTCCGTTATCTCTCCTCTTGACACTATTCGTGAGTCCCTGATAACACTGAGACTTTCGTCAATCACATTGATCTCGTCCAACGTAAACGTGTCGTGATAGTGTATTGTTATACTGCCTACTCCTTTTGGCAGAGTGCAAAAGATTCGTTTGATGCTTTTTGATCGAGCCAACACAAAACCAGCACTGTTGACAACAGGTCGTTACATGTAGCATTACAATTCTTCACTGAAAGGCAATAATTCCTTAGGCTCGTCCTTCGTCTTCAAGACATAGTGCAACATATCATTGCTGTCATACCACTCCTTCGCCACTTCACCCATCACCACTGGTAGATGCACCACCTCACCATCTTTCAAAGTGAGCTTGTCCCCCAGTAATGTCAATATGCCTCCTGAAGTCTTCGGTACAAAAACATGGGCACTGCCCCCGTGATCGTCGAAAACCACTCGAATTCTGTTCTTTTCATGAGCATGCGCAGCAGCTGTTTCAATGGCCTTCTGATGGCGACTCGATACCACACGATCGTCCGCTTTGCCGCCCTCTCTTGGTACGGTTATTGTCAGCTTCCCAGAAGTCTTATCGAACTCCACGCGAGTTTTATTCAAATTACAGTCGTCTCCCAGCGTGTAAAAGCGTTGCATAAGACGGCTGACACCATCGTGTTGTGTGCTAGCCCGAATGACCAAGCCATGGGCGTATCTTTTCACAGAGACTTTCGAACCATAGCCGTCCTCATTCGGATGGTTATACGCCGGCACTTCGCCGTTTATAACGACCGACTCGTTGGTGACACGCATGTGGAATCCGCCAGAATGACCGATGGAAGCGGACGACATTTGCGACAAGATTGTGTGAAACGCCGTGGGTAACATGACATGCGTACGCAGGAGCAGTCGTGGGTGTTGTTGCATTGAGAGCCCTGGAAGGTCTAGTGGCATTAGACCGTGAAGGGCGCCAGCAGCGTGGATGAGGTCGTCTAATGGGGAGGAGATGTGGCCGAGGTGTGGTATGAAGTCCTCATTGGAGATATCAGCAGGGTTGGAGAGCACTCTAGCCTCTTCTGACGCACTGCTGAGAACGACGACGACCACATATAAAGGAGCGAGCCGCCAGCACATAGTAAAACCTCGAATTCGGGAGTCCATCAATATTGACAACACGATAACAACAGACCCAGAAAATCCAATGTTGGTCATGGTTTGCCACACAGAGGATGAGGACGGTCGAATATGCATTCTTTCTTCTTCAAATGAGCTACTCCATAGCATTTCCTCTGTGGTCCACGATGTTGGTAGTAGCAACGAGAGCTCGAGAACGGCGTCATCTGTTTCACGATTGACCCTCTCTCGGAAGCTCATCAGCTACCACGGTTTGATAGTCG